AGCTTCCTACTCGTTTTACAAAGCCCTGCTTGTGCTCACCTGTCCGGTTGGCGCCCTTGCCAACCACCTGGCCAACCACGAATCATGGCCCCAGGCTGTCCACAGGCTACATCGGCTGCAGCCCCTCTTGCAGCACACCCTGCCTTGGCTCTGTAATATGTGTGTGCCTCCCGCTAGGCTGGGGCCCCTTGAGGCTGCTGGTCTCTCATGTCCCGGGGCTCCTGCCTGGCCTAGGCCTGGCTCCTGGTTAATAAGCTCTCAGTAAGAAGGTTCTGATGACCCAGGCACTAGGGCTCAGGCCAGCACTTTGGGAGGCCGAGGTGGGCGGATCACATGTCAGGAGTTCGAGACCAGCCTGGCCAACATAGTTAAACCCTGTCTCTACTAAAAATACAAAAACTAGCCAGACATAGTGGCGGGTGCCTGTAGTCTCAGCTACTCGGGAGGCTGGGGAAGGAGAATCACTTGGAATCGGAGGTTGCAGTGAGCTGAGATTATGCCATTGCACTCCAGCCTGGGCAACAGAGTGAGACACTAGGTTCTGATGCTCCAGTGTGTGAGTGAGGCAGGGCTGCCCCAGGCCTTCAAGGTCAGCAGCTCTCCAGGCAGGCAGATGCAGGCAATTGGGGAAGGTCAAACAGGAGGCTGGAGAAACCAAAGCCCCCTCCCATCCACACAAGGCAGGGCCTGCACATCAGGCTGCCCCAGGGAAGAGCTGGGATGCCAGCGCCTTTCCTCCTTGGAATTAGGTCACCGTCCAGAGGCCTGGGAGCCTCTGGTGTCCTGTGTGCCTTGTGCCCCTCCCCTAGCAGCAATCCTTTTCTGGCATGGGGAGGTAGCTGCAGTGGGAAAAGGGGCCCCGAGTCAGAGGGGCAGGATTGCATGCCCTGTCAGTGCTGCTGAACTTGGTTCCCCGTCTATGCAAGATGAAGACAATGAGCAGGACACACCTGGCAGGACTATTTAAGGACTAAGTATGTCACCAGCCTGGGAGGTGATATGCCTGAGCCTTTTCCTGTCCTCCCAGCCCCAGCCACCCGCTTCCACCTCCTCCCACCTAGGAAGGCGACACAGAGAAAAATGGAGCTGTCTTTGGCCCCCAGGAGCTTTTCTCAACATGAAATTTCTCCAGTTTTGTGACCATAGGCCAAGAATTGCAGTATAGGAGGAGCCAGGGTTTCCCCACACTGGAGGTTTCTTGCCGTGGGGTCATTTTTACACTTTGAGGTGTGCCAGTGCCCTCTTCACAGCCTGAAGCCCCAAGCACTTGTTCCTCTGGCCCCTCTGCTCACCTGTCAGAGCCCCCTCATTCCTCCTTCACCCGCCTACCCCATGGGGCTCAGCCCCTCCCTCTCTCTGCATGGGCATCATGAAGACAGGGACCTGGCTCCTGCTGCAAAGGCCCTGGGCAGGGAACATACCCCAAACACTGCACAGGACTGCCTCCCCACCCCCACGACCTTCTCCCGGGCCACAGGCCTGCTTCAGTGTCCTTGTCCAATGAAAGCTGCCCTGACACTCATTTAAACCCGATTCTGCTGAAGGTTGGGTTTCTTGTTTCCAGGATTTTTTTTTTTAACCTCAGCTGGCACCCTGGCCAGTTCTAAAGCAGCCCTGAACTTCCTATTACACTCCTCAGTTGTGCCCAGCTAGGGTCCCTTGGCTTCTTCTCTCCTGATCATAAACCTGGCCCAGGGCTTTTCTTCTGCCAAAGGACGGTCTGGAGACTTCTGCATCTACCCTGGCTATCACCCTAACCCGGGGCCTCCCCAGCCTTTCCTCTGGCATGCCCACCACCAGCACCCGTGCCTTCCCCCACTCCCCAGTCCTGCCCGTGGCTAGTGAAAGTGAGTGTTGAGCCCAGAATTTTGCAACTCAGAGTGAGAGAAGCTTCAGCTTTGCTTTTTAATAAGTTAAGACTGACACATGGCCATCCACTCCCAAAGAGTCCCAGCCCTCCAGGCAGCACTGAGGCCCAGGCAGATGGCCCATCCCCGCTCTCCACAGCCTCCCTGCTGCCCACCCACCCACATGCCCACCGACAGCACCGCCAGGACGTCTGGGCAGAAAGCATGCAGCTGTGTGACGGCCAAGCACCCGCTGCAGCCCTGTCTCCAAGCTGGACAGAACTAAGAGGGAGGCTGCCACAGGCCAGGCTGCAGCAGCTCTTGCCTCCTCCTGGGCAGAGGCAGCGGCTGGGGTGGCGTGGGGCTGGTCTGGCTGGTCCCACTGGCTGGATCCTGGCTACCACAGTAGCATGTCCTGAAATCAGTTTTGTTGTTTTCAACTTTACGTATAAAAAAAATTTCCTAGAAATTTTTAATATTCTGGCTACCAGATAACATCTCCCAGATGTTCCCAAACCCAGAAGGGGCATAAAACTCCTGTCAGATGACACATTCCAATTTTGGTTTGGCATATATGGTCAATGGCTGCAAGGCTGGTACTCCAGGACACTTTGCCCATTGCTGGAGAAAGGGCAAAGGCAGTGAATGGAGTAGGGAGGAACGTAGGCTGAAAAAGGGAAGGGTCAAGGCCAATATGGACATGTGCTTTCTTTGGTTCCACAGTGTTGGAAGCTGGGGTAGCCTTTGACCAGGATTGGGACCCGGAGGTGAGGCCAGCTCTCAGACATCAACCAAAGGACCCACTGCATCTCCCTCCTTCCCCTGCCAACAAAGGTACAAGTAGATGTTGACACCCCCTCAGACATGGAAGGAGACCCATTTTTTTCTTTTTCTAGTTCTGCATAAATGGCCTTAAACAAAATATGCAAACAGGCTCCTTGCCTCTCCCGAAGGCAGCCCACCACAGAAGCCCTGCCACAGCCCAAGAGGTTAGATGCTGCCAGGATCTGTTTCCGCCACAGAGCAGCTCTGTGCAGCACATTCCTGCCAACCACCCCAAGTGCTTCAGGGCTTCCGAGGCAGTGACAGTGAGGGCAGCGGCACTTCTGGGTCACCGTGGGACAGGTCTCTGCCTCAAGACACGGATTGACAAGCTCTCTGAGTGGGCCAGGAGCTCCTTAATGTGAGCCAAGCCCAGCCCTGCCACCTTGGCCCCATTCATCTCCAGGATCTCGTCGCCCACCCCCAGCAGCCCTGAGTACAGCTTGGCCGTGCTCACGTCAGCCATCTCCTGCACGTAGATCCCTGCAAAGGAAAACGGGAGAATTTCACAATGACACCCAAATCGAAGAAGTGCATCTCTGGAACGCTGACCATGTTGGTGAGGTGCTGTTTGTGTGGCACAGGGAGGAGGTGCTCATAGCGGGCACTTCTCTGCGCGCATGCACACACACACATGCCCCTCATTATTCCACCTCACAGCCGCAGCTGGCTTTAGACAGTGCATCTCCTCCACGGCCTAACTTCATTCCACTGTCTCTGCTTTTAAAGTGGAAATGCTCCTAGTGCAAATAACGCGTTAAATTGTTGTTACTTATTTACACCTGACTGTGAGTGAGCTAATCTTTTTCTGAGATGAGTTTTGCTTGTAGAATAGGAAGGAAAATAGTTTTTAAAAATTAGGAACCATACCTACTCGGTGCCTGGCACTATGATCCAGTTGCTGCCTCAGGTCGCCCAGGCCCAGCATAAAGGCCGGGGTGGTGGGAAGGTATCATCGGAAAAGCAAAAGTGGCTGAGCCACATCCAAGCCTGGTTTGCTGCACTCTATTGCCAAAGAGTGACCCTGGCCTCAGTCTTACTCAGATATGGTTCCTCAATTGGGATGGGAAAACATCTGAGCAAAAAAACCCAGGAAAAATAAAAATTCTAGCCACATATTTCAAAGCTCCGGTGGCTCCCTCTCCTCTTCTGCATATGTCCCCTCCTTCCCACCCCAAAGAGGCCCTGCCTGGGTCTAGAAGGTGCCAAGAGTCAGCCTGGAGGAACCAGCTTCTCTGTTCTTTCCCAAGCTCCGGCTCTCAGGGAGCCCCCTGTCAGTGGGGCAGGCCCTGTGGGGCTTGGGCTGGCTGGGCTGGCTCCCTCTGGCATCTGTGGGAAGCGTCCAGCTGAGGAGGCCCCCATCCCCCAACCGGCCTCAGCTGTGGCTGGAAACCTTTCAAATTCCCCTCCAGCTGCTCCCACCTGGGAGAAAGTAAGTGAGGTGCTGGCTCTCCCAGGGCAGGCTGGAGCCCCTGATGCCCATGCTCCGTGCTGGGTGGACACAGGGGCTGAGACACAGGCTGAGTTTGCTGGAGGACTGCAGGGCACACCCCTGGCATGGGCATCAGCACTGGCGGAATTCAGGCTGCTCAGCGCAGCCTTTGGCACCCTCGCTGTTCCAAGCCCAGCTCAGCTCACTCTGCATTTCAAACATGAGGCCACTGCCCACGCGTTACTGTCTCCACTTCCTTTTCCTCCAATCGGGTTCCTAGCAGGGGCCCGAGGGGCATCAGGTCTGCTCCTCAATCTCTGGCTTGAAACTAGTCACCACATCTTGGACTAGTGGGAAGTCCTCTCTCAGGTCCCCCCAGCCTCTGGCCCTGACAGAAGTCAGGCATTTTAAAGCCTGCCTCTGAAATGTGGCTTTGAAAGAGCACTGATCTTCACCGAGGCACCTGAAAGTCTGTGGCTCTGAATTTAGCAAATCCAATCTTTGCACACATTCCCCCCCGCCGGTCGGAGGTATAGAATCCCTTTGGTTGCTTCTTGGCCAAGCCGAGCCTTTTCTGCGGGGCTGTCTTCCCTGACGGTACGTCTGCCATCCTGACTGTACAAGGCGTTTTCCCTCAACCCTGTCTTTTACCTCCTCTAGCTGGACTGCTTGCCCTCCCTGTCTACGGGTTGGTGGCACGGGGAGGGGGCAGGTAAGAAGGGGCCCCTGGGGCAAACCCAGAGAAGTGTCTGATGTGCTGTGGGAGTTGCAGGTGGGGACTAATGATAAACCCTGAAAGAATGCAGCCAGAGCTAGGCCAGACACTGACGTCACTCCTGCCATTTTGGGGAGACTCGTGTAGATTTTGCAACTGAAATTCGTGACACAAATATGACAGCCTGCTGTCGTAGGCATTTATTGTCTGCTGGAAATGGCCTTTGTTGAGGATGTGTGATCTCTATGTTGTATCCAATTAGAAGCAGAAGGCAAAGCCTGCTGTTCTCACAGACTCATAGAGAGTCAGATGTGAAAGCCAGCAAGTTAATACCAGCATCCTGCCGGTTCAGCGCAGGGCACAAGCCAGCCCTCTTCACAGCCCCTCGGAGCCTGGAAGAAGTGACCCTCTGCTGTTGGAGGATGGCCTGGGGAACGGAGGCCCCAGCACTCGCCAGGCTTCACGTGCGTGGGGACCCCTGTGTGCCATCTAGTGACCCATGACGGCAGCAGGACCAGGGAATGCTTGGGCAGAACAGGGAGCTGGCACCAACTTAGGCAAGGGTGCCAGGGACCCTGGGTCACTAGAGACCCCTGCCCATCACAGCTCCCAGACGGGTGACGGGGAGGGGCTCCCACTGCCTACAAGGGAGCCAAAAGGGACTCTGGGGGATGGTGGAGGGCAGAGTACAATGCCCTGTTGTGTGTGCACTCACGTCGACGGGAACGCAGATCACACTGGTCCCTGTCTGGGGTTTTCTTCCCCAGACCTTCTCTTTCTGAATGGGAGGGAAGAAAAATGCTAGGCCCTTTCCTGTGTGCCTTATCAAATGCTCCTTATGACTCTTCTAGGTAGGTTTTGTCATCCTCATTTCACAGATTAGGGAACTGAGGCTCAGCAGGGATGTCGCCCGCTCTAGGTCACTCAGCCAGCAGAGGTGCCGGAGCACAAACATGCTGAGTTGTCTGCCTCCGCCTTCACACACCTGTCCGGGGGCCTGTCCTGCTCGCCTAACGGGAGAGGCAGCTACGGGAAGGCCTGTGAGGAAGGACGTTTTATCCTCCTGAGGTCCAGAGTGGGCAGAAACCTGTCCTGTCTTCCTCTTACACACATGTCCAGCTCATCAGCAAAGAGTCAAATCAACCAGAATCCAACCTTCTCCCCTCTCCCCATCTCCACAGCCATTCCCAGCCCAAGTACCACCATCTCTGTCCCGGACTGCTGAAATAGCTTCAACACAGGGCTCCCTGGCTCCACCTGTGTCCCTCTGGGGTCTATTCTCATAGACATTAGAGAGCCTCAGTGCTCGCTCCGAGCCCTCTAGTGGCTCCCATCTCATTCAGCATGAAAGCCAAAGCCCCTTACAGTGGCACAACCCCATCTTTCCAAACTGCTCCTCCCAACCCCTTGCCTGCTGTAGAGTGTCCAACCTGACCTCCTCACAGTTCTCACAGGCCAGGCTCACCCCTCCACGAGGGCTCTGCACTTGCTGTTCAATCTGCCGGAATGCTCTTCCCCAGACACCCGCAGGGCCCCTCCTTTGCCCCATCCACGGCCCTGCTCAAGTGTCATCTTCTCAGAAAAGCCTCCCCACACTCCTGCTTTATCTGTGTGTTTCTCAGAACTTTCTTTTCACCATCTGACATACGTAGCACATTATACATAACAAGAGTACACATTTTATAGATACAATCTAACTGCTCACTGGGTAGTATATTCATGAGGACAGGGATTTGGTCTGTTCCACTTACTGCTGTATCCCCCGTATCTATAACACATAGTAGGTGCTTAGTATATATTTGCTGAAACAATTAATGATGGTACAGACATGAGAACTCATGCTGCGGTCTGCAAATGTGGCAGCAGGCAGACTTTTTTCCAGGCTAAACAGCATTGACCTAGGAGATCAAAGCATAGGACTCAACCCCCCATTGGCAGAGCCCAGCTGCAGCAGGCTTCTGTGCGCGTCTTTCTGTATCTGTCTCTCCCTTTCTCTCTTCTTCCTTCCCCTCCTCTCCTTGCCCACCCTCGCATACCTGTCTTCCTTCCCTGCTCCTCTGGGGAATGTCTTTCTTTTATGGGCCCTTGCCCTGAGATGCATTGTGGACCACAGACCTTGGGTGTGGGCCTTGGCAAGTCATGTTGCCCTGAAAGACTCATGGATGGGGCGGAACTGAGAACTGGCCAGAGTGCAGAATGATGTCCAGGACTCCTCCCTGCCCTTGCCTGCGTTGAATTGAGACCCAGAGCACACCCCAGCCAGAAGCCTGCAGCCAGGATTCATCTGAACATAATCCTCGGGCACAGGCCTGAGGGGGGGACGGGATGCAGAGACACACAGGCACGCTCCACCTTCCCAGACATACTCCACAGCCGGAGGAAAGGAACCGTTTCAACACAGCCACATCAAAGGGACTGCTGAGAACTGGCAGGCACAGACAGTTTCCCTCTGGCTCTCCTCTGCTAAGATGGCCTTCAAAATTCTAATTTCTTTCTTTTTTTTTTTTTTTCCTTTGAGACGAAGTTTTGCTCTTGTTGCCCAGGCTGGAGTACAATGGCGCAATCTTGGCTCACTGCAACCTCCACCTCCTGGGTTCGAGCAATTCTCCTGCCTCAACCTCCTGAGTAACTGGGATTACAGGCATGCACCACCACGCCCAGCTAATTTTGTATTTTTAGTAGACATGGAGTTTCACCATGTGGGCCAGACTGGTCTCGAACTCCTAAACTCAGGTGATCCAGGCGCCTCAGCCTCCCAAAGTGGTGGGATTACAGGCGTGAGCCACCGTGCCTGCCTAAGATTCTAATTTCAAGATATCATCAGACAGCAGGGGGACAGTGGAGTCAAACCTGCCAACTCTACCCCCTCCCGTACACTCCCCACCAACACCCTCTCAGCTGCAGCTGCCCAGGGCAAAGGCTCTGCAGGTGCAGACTCCTAGACAGCCCTGGACAATTCAGAAAGAGCCCCTGAGGGGAGAAGCCTAGTCCTGTGGTCAGGGGCTTTCTGAATTCCCAGAGCTCCACGGCTCAGCCAAGGACCAGAAAAGCCTCTGACACAGCCAGAAGGCCCTGCCGTGGTTTGCTGAGGCTGCCCCGGCTATGGGGCTGAGGAAGGGGAGAGGGCATACCTGAGTCTGGGCGCCCATTCCCAGAGGCCACGCAGAAGCCGAAAGTGCCCCCCGGGGAGCGCTGCAGCTGCAGCTGGCTCGTGCCGTCCGGGAACACCTCCACCAGGCGGCCCACGGTGCGAGCCAGGCTGGGAGCACCCACGTCCTCCACGCTGAGGGCACGCCGTGGTGAAGCCTTGGCCGGCCTGCGAGGGAACCAGAGACACAGTGAGGGCAAAAAGCATCAGGCACTGGGCACAACTCTTCCCTAGCTTACAGATGACTGATGCCTCATGGACAGCCAACGCCAGAGTCTGGCATTGGAGGCTGGGGTTCTGCTGACCTCCACCAGCAAAGAGAGCCTGCTAGGGCCAAAACTGGTGGGTTTCCACTGCTGTGCAAGGCCCCCCAGAGCCTGCTGTGGAACTAGAAACCCCACCCTCCCAAAGCAGTGGTTTCAAATTTTGGGGGGTACAGAGACCTTTGTAAGAATCTGACAAAAAGTATAAGTTTATGTCACATTTCCAGGAGCTAACATACACCCTGAAGTGCATCCACGCCCCAGGAAAGAGCAGCCAGCCTACAGGGCCTCGTCAGACAGAGCGGGATGTTTCCAAGCAGGTCATGCGTCCTGGGCCCCTCTGGGGGTCTCTGTCTCCATGTGTTTATTTGGATCTTTAGCTGGGCTAAGAAAGCTCTCTAAACTTTCTGATTTCCAGATGTCACTGGACAGCAGAGGGACAGTGGACTCAAACTGGCCAACTCCGCCCTCTCCAGCAACCCCAGGCCTTCTCAGAGCCCAGTGCACCGAGGGTTGGCACAGGGCACTGAGGTGCTGAGACTCCTGTGGCAGCCTTGTCTCCACACATCAGATGTCCTGGGCGGAGGCCTTGCTTTCCCTTCAGCGGACCCTGCTCAGAGCCATGATGCTGAGGCCGGAAGGAGTCAAGCTTTTGGCTCCACTGGTCACTCTCTGAGTTTATCCTCCAAATCATGGGTGCTCCTCTTACCTGCCAGCTGCACTGTGGTCCCCTGGCCCCGCTACCAGGTAGAGGCGGGACCGCTCCCCCTTGCCGCTCAGCAGAGAATGGAGGTTCTGAAAAGAGGCAGCTTTCCGACGCTGGTGAGAGGGTGACACCTGATGAGAAAGGGACAATATTGCAGGTGAGAAAAGCCACCTGGGAGGTGCTGACAGAGGACTTGGCCCCCACCATGAACGTGAGGGCCCTGTAAGAAAGTGACAGCACAAGCTTTCATCATTGCTTCCAAGAATTCAACAGGAACCACCATGACTTACTCAAGGAGATGGGTCTACATAGGCCATCTGAGGAGTCAAGGGATTTTTTGTTTTGTTTTTTAGCTGCAATAACAACTTTAGTGCTATACTAATTACCTCATTGATTAAGGAAATCTACTCATTAAGGAGGAAATGACAGTAAGTTTATTGCAGAGTAATAAATACCACTTTAGAGTTAAAATTCGAAATATTATTTTGTGATTCTTTAGTATGTCTTTTGTGATTGCTTTCGTTCAAAAATTTAAATCGAACACTGTACCTTCAAACATTGTGGATAAAAAGATAGACAAGAAATCCTTCAAGGAGTTCACAAAATGATGGGGGCAGGGTTGAGCACAGGTAAGTTAAAAGGTTTCAGTGCACTTTAAAAGGAGATGGTGTGTGCCGTGTGTGGTGACTCACACCTGTAATCCCAGCACTTTAGGAGGCTGAGGTGGGCAGATCACCTGAGGTCAGGAGTTCAAGACCAGCCTGGCCAACATGGTGAAACCCTGTCTCTACTAAAATTACAAAAATTAGCCAGGCCTGGTGGCAGGTGCCTGTAATCCCAGCTACTCAGGAGGCTGAAGCAGGAGAATCACTTGAACCCAGAGGTGAAGGTTGCAGTGAGCCGAGATCATGCCATTGCACTCCAACCTGAGTGACAGAATGAGACCCTGTCTCAA